CTTTTTGAAGCCATAAATTTAATACTCTTTTTTCTTTTTGATTTTATACATAACTATGCCAAGGACGACTAAATACATTTTTGTATGCATAGGTTATGAAATAATTTACGGCTCCAAATACCTTATCTTACATCTTTTTTTATTAAAAATATATACTAAATCTTCAATTGTAGAGGAAAATATAAAACTCTTACCCACTTTGTCAGGTCAGACATCTTTTTTTATCTGGCTAAATGCTCAGATAGCCACCCAGCCAGATGGTGCAAGTAAAGTTATTATCTGGACTGTTCTGCCAAGAATTTACTACTAGAGAACTCTTACCCTTGATCTAGAAAAAAAATACATATTCGGAGAGTGGATCTCAGTTTTTGGGAGGTTAGAAAAACTACATGTTCAGAAAATGGATCACAATTTTCTAGGGGTGATTCCTTTCATCTAATTTCAATGATCAATAATCAATCGTAAGCAAGGTTTCAAAAAGCAGCATATATCCTGCCTAAGTATTAACTTTTCTCTGTTCATCAAAATTTTAGGAGAAGAAGTTCGCTGCTTTTCCTTCTTGAGCCAGGACATAACCTCAAGGCATGAAGCTTCAGTTTCATAAAGTTTTGACAGTATCAAAATCAAGTGTTAAAATGGATATAACAATTGCAATACTTCTATCCAACACTTAAAATTTACTGTCGTCAAAACAAATCCATATATCCATCATGATATCCCTTGATGTTAAATAAACCTTAAATGATACATGCTTATTAAAAGATGAAATAACATGGAAAAAAAAAAAAAAAAAAGTTGTTTATAACTTTGTAATAAAAACAATTGTATGTAAAAAGGAACTGTAGTTGCATGCAAGTCAAAACCTCGGCCTACAGGTGTTGTGTCTAACAAGTTGCAGCATGAGCATTGTGGGATATAAAATTCCAAGTTCTAACACCACACCTGAAGGGAAGTTGTGCATGCCTTCTAAAACAAACATATTAAACTTGATTTCCTCTGTTTAAATCCAGAGGTTACCTGAAGGATAATCAATACCGAAGATGAGCTACGAACTCCAACTAAGTTACCAAATAAAAGCACCAAAGGTGTTTAATGGGAAGATATATTACTTGATTTGTGCGTCATATAGCCTTAATTTCAAGCTTGGTAAAGAAACAATTTGAAACAAGCTTATTAAGGAAAAAATGGGTTGACTAAATTGAAAATTCCATAATTATAATGTACACTGTTAGAATTAAATAGTCTCTTTCTCTGAGACACTAAACCAAGAATGCTGGGAAATCATCTATACGTGCCATTCTTGTTTGCCTGGTGGAAGTAAGACTATTGTAGAATAGGATAAATGTTTTTTTTAAAAAAATTTATTTTATAGGGTGGTCAAGATATGCAGACTTGCAGAGCAATGCAAAATGTATATTCTCTACTTACAGGAGGAAAGAAGCCGGATGTCTTTCCATAAGAAGGCCAAACCCAAAATTTGGAGTAATGCAATGTCAAACAATTTGCTTAACCAAACTATCCCCATAAGAAGGACAACCCCAAAATTCGGAGTCCAAAAGGAGTGATGCAAACAAGAGAAACATGAAACCCCACTACAATGATTGCCCAACTAATCTAAGGTTAAAAGAGAAAATCAGAAGCACAAAGGTAACCTCAAAAATAAATTTCCTACCAAAAACCCACACTAAAATTCTAGAACCAACAGCCTTCCCCCTACTTGTCACCTTTGAGAAAGCTATTTTTCAATATTAGCTTAGTCGACTGCAACCGTACAAATGAAGCAAGATAGTTGTCCAAACTTAAATGCGGAGAACAATTCAGCATGCCATAAAGGCCTACAGAATCAAACACACTTGAATTATTATAATCCAACTCTCCAAATACAATTTAAAAAAACTGTAAAACTAAATAAACAAAAATGACACACTTATGTAAGTTAGTAAGTTGAATCTAAGCTAAACATATATATAATCTTGGCCCCATTGCATAGTGGAAAAAGTCCATGAAATCAATTGAATTTTGACAGCGATAAAAACATGTAACCACATACAATCCTAACAGGTGATCTGCTCTTATACCTTAAATTTCTTATTTGCAAACAAAGACGCATTACTAGGAGAGGGATGAAGTGCATATTGGAAAACAATTGATTCTCCATAGATATATTACACAATAACATCTCAAGAAGGAAAGATACGAGTAAACCTCAAAATATTACTAAGAATATGGAAAGCCTTATACAAACATGAAAGGTAATGCAAAACCCATTTAGAATACTAAATTGAAAAGTGATCAGCTATATCAAATGAAGATTGTGTTCTTACTTATTGATTGAAGAAAAAATTAAATGAAGATTGTCTTATAGTACAATTTTCTCTTCAATTAAGTTTCAAGAAAATAGTTGTTACACTTCTCCTTCCAAAATGACAGAACGATTGAAAACAACAAATTACACCACTCTATAAGCCACAAAGTTGGGACTCTAAATAGGGCTGGAGGGTATGCAAAACAGCAAAAGAAATCTGTGCTGTAGTTTCCAGCTACCTTTGGAACATAATGCAATATTTAGATTTTGAACTTTAGACTGTTTGGGTTACTCTATCAGTCACTTATCAAAACATGTGTTAATGAGTCTGAGGAGCTTGCTTCCAGTGGAAAATAGTTTTATTTATAACTAATAGAAGAAAGAAAATTGAAGACTATAACAAAAAAATCTTAGGTTTCAATTAAACCTAATAAAAATTACAATTGTGTGTTAAAACCAACAAATATATAGTAGGAAAAACACTCTGTTGAGTAGTTAATAATGCTCAAATTTCAATTCATTATTCTTTTACATTTCCTAAAAAGAACAGAAAACAAAGGAAGAATAATACGAGATCTTCTGAATCACTCAAGTTCAGTTTGTACCAAAAAATAAGGTGACACAGTCTGACACTACTAGTTTACAAACGTGTAACTTGAAATCCAAATCGTTTGTTACTAGCAACTGCAGCCTCCCCTGACCAGAATCTGCTAGATGTCAAACAATCACATGAACAACTTGTTGAGATGAGTAGGAAACTTAACCGTGTGGAGTTTTTTTTTTTTTTTTTGATAAGTAACCGTGCGGAGTTTCTTTAAACTAACATGGAGTTATATAAATGGTGTATCTACTAAACTGCCATTATTTAACTGATAAATTAGAATTTCTCAGTGGAGATTCAATTATGCATACCAAACTCACACTCATTTCTCAATGCTTTTCATGAAATGTTAGTTTAAAGGTGACAAGAGAAATCTAGAGGCCTTGTCCCACTGTCTAATACCCCCTCTATATTATACATATAATTCCAAACAACAACTAACGCACATAACAAACTTTAAGACCAAAAGTACGGAGTTTAACACTATCACACTTAAAAAAGAGCACGAAATAGAATTAAACACAAGATAAGTCACTCACCTAGATTTCGAATATAATCCTCCAGTTGAAGCTTTAGAAGAAGTAATGGGTAGCAGATGCAAATCCCAATCTTTCTCAATTGTCGGAAACCGAGCTAAAAACTTCATATAGGTCTCATAACTCCCCGCCACCCCCATCAACCACAATTTCGCATTGTGAAGCTCCAACAAGCTACTCAATTGAGACACCACAAAGCTCACAGCATCCGTCGACTTGTCATCATTAAGCACCTTCAGTTCGCCATAATTAACAACAATACCAGGCCCCGAGCAACACTTCACCATTTCACCCAATTCCTTAAACTTCATACATATCATTTCTTGATTCCCACCTTGAGCCACAAAGTCACAAATCTCCTTCTCAATACAAATCAAACTCAACCCATCAATTTCAGCTGGCAATATACCACCTTTACCTCTATCTACACACTCCGTGAAGCTACGAAGCCCATCCTTTGCACAAACCCCAATCAGTAACGGGTTCTTCCCTTTTTTATTTACAAGAACCTCCCCAATTCTCTTACAATTTTCATCTGCATTTTCAAACCCTGAAAAGCCCGCGAACGGAAAATTGAAACTCCGGTGATTCAATTCCGAATCGGTTAAATTACAGAGGAACAGAGGCGGACACCGAGACCGTGAAAATCGTGACATGGTGGGAGGATGAAGAATTGCGAGCTTGATGTCACAGCTCGTAAACCCCGCTTCTCCGAAGACCCTACTGACAATCGGGTCATCGAGAATCGAGAGTATGAAGTGCTTGAGCTCAACCTTCACACATGTAAGCGACGACTGGTTCTGCTGCTGCAATTGCTGGTACAAGTGAAAAGTCTCCGGTTGTCTCCGTTGATTCGCTTGCGACCGTTTGATGGCGGCCATGAGAGAGTTCGACACCGGAGGCTCGTCCACGGCTTTCGATGACGGCAGTCTATCGAGTGACACACCGACGGGTGGACATGTGTATTACACGAAACGGTCCAAATGCACCCGTTGAACACTACAACAGGTGCAATTAAGTTTTTCTCCTTGTATGCTGAAACACAGAGCAGTTAGATGTTTTTTTTTTTTTTTTTTTTTTTTTCAAAATTTTGTTTTGTTTTCAGGATTATTGAAAACTTTTTTTTTATAGTTGGGCCAATCAGGGTCTAAGTATTTGGGTTGTTAATGACTTGGTAGCCCAACTAACAATATAAAGGGCATGAGCCTGACAAATGTAATGGGCCCTGCCCTAAAAATTATTAGAGCAGCATCTTTGGACCTGAATAGGAAACTGAATACAGATAAACTAAATAAGTTAAGCCCAGTTTGAGTTCCTTTGGATGTTCGAGTTAGTTCGGGCCATTTATACTTAAATGATCTATTTACCGGTTTTCTTCACACACACACAAACCCCATTTTACCCAAGTTGGATATTCTAACCATAGGCTTAAATATAATTAAGAAATATTATAGAAAAGTGAAAAAGAAAAAAAAAAAAATCAATCTTTTTATATGGTTTAAAGAAAGTACAAGGAATAAAATCTAGCTAGAAAAAAAAGACAACTGGTTCATACGTGTGACTAAGAATATTATGCATTATATTATATGCAATTAATACAACACATATAATGTGCAAAAGGAGCCAACAAAAATTATGAAATTACCTGGCCAAACAAACCTTTTAAGATGCTAAAAACTACATTATACATAATAAATACAAGGATATCTAGGCAAGATCATTGTACATTTATTCTTGCCGGAAGGCAGACTCCAGGAGCTTGCTGTTCCATAAGGCGGCCTTCACAAGTGACAAGTTTCAATAGAGAGTGACCGGTAAGGTGGCACCTCTGCCGAGCTTCGACAAAGCTTGTGCTGAGAACCCTATCGATCCAATCTTCCACCGATCTCTTTCTGTCAGATAACCAAGCAGCAGCAAGCATTTGCACCAAGACTTCTTCATCAATCTCCAGAAATGCCTCGGATCCAACAGTTTTCTGGAGACTACGGCTAATCTCCTTCAAAACTTCTGCGGCAAGCGCATCAAAATCAAATGGCTTGAAAATCACATTTTCATCCAGCTGCTCAAAGAAATCTTCCAACCAATATTCTGAATTTTCAGAGGCAGAGTCACTGTTATAGTTTTCGTAATCATTCTCTCCTTCCATCTCCTCTACCGGCAGATTCAAATCCAAACAGGAAGCCTTGTGTGCTCGTTTTGGTATCTGCAAGATATTGTCCTGCTTTGTGCAACTGGCGTCAAACAGCTTCCTTTTACTTGCAGAAACTGGATTTGAGGCTCCTTTGCTTGGCATAACCAACACGTTTGTGCCATCAGCTTTGTTGGCATTTCCACCTCCGCATCCAATTAAAATTTGCATTTGCCAACCTTTGGCTTCTAATATTCTTTCTTCTGAAAATTTAACTTGCACACTCCTGGAAAGCATATTTTGTTTTACCTTTTTTATCTTTGAGGTGGTAACAAAGATCATATTGTAGACGCCCATTTCTCTGCCACGCGAATCTGGAAATTTACCAGTCCTGATAGCCTGAGACAAGCTAGTCTGAACAAGGAAATCAGCCTTATCTACATTTTCAAGGAGCACAACTGATTGAGGTTTCTTGCTCATCTCCTCGGCAATGTAGTCAACAACTGTCTTCCCCCTAAACTTTACACCATGGCTGCTTAAATCTTGACGGTCAAAAATGGAGTTTGAGTGGCTAATCCCGTCTTCAGAACTAAGATCCACAGCAACTAAGCTTTCTCGGTTGCCAAAGATCATCTCAGCAAGTGCTGTTGCAATTTTCCTCTTTCCCACTTTGTCAGGTCCTACAAAGCTGAGCCAAATATCTCCTTTCTGATTTGAGCCATGACGCCTTCCATGTCCAGTTCTGCAACGGGATACAGTTTGACTAATCGTATAAATGGCTTCATCTTGCCAGCCTGCCTTTTCGGCAAGACCTCTCCATAGGGACTTGAAATCTTTGGGATCCAACAGCCCTCCCAACCCAGTACCTGAACAGGAAGAAGATTGGGTACGATTCAAAGCATTCTCACTAACCCCATCAAACTCAGCAGAAACAGATGCTAAGTACTGAGGACTATCTTTATGATCTTGAATTCTGTTTTTCCTAGGCTTTTCAGCAGCGGATGCATAAAGTGTTCCCAACCCCAATTCTGTAGCCACAGAAGTAACAGATGACGGTGATGTACGATCTGGCAGGTTCAAACTGTGCAAATGGTAAGAGGGAGGCCAATGGCTCTCCAACTCTAGCTGCTGACTCTTTGAAACTTCTAACGGTAGCTTGCGTTGGAGATTGGCTTTCTCAGCATCAGAAACACCACTTCCTGTAATGTTTGGTTTTGGTGGAAAAATCTTTCGCAAGTCCATGGGCATGAAAGAAAATTTTGATCCACTTTCATTCAGAGGTGATTCTTTACTACTGTTTTCCTTACCATCAACCACCACCTGAAAGCCTTGAACACCTGTAACTTGGGACCTGACCTGTGAAATAGCTGGTTCGAATGGTCGAGTGCAATGAAGGCGCTGGCAGATATCATTCCATTTCCTTTGCAGCCCCTTTAGTTTTGCACTCAGAACAGTCCCGTCATCTTTGGTCTGCACTGAATTGACGGAGCACATGTTATAGTCACGAATAAATAGATGAAATACTCTGTGTGCAAGTTGTGCATGGGTCTCCATGGTAATTGGTCAAAGAATTCAGACTTTGAAGGAGATACACACCTTCAGCATATCCATTCTCTTGCTCGTGTCAGCTTCATCCATTTGTAACCAAGAAGATAAACTTGCTGAGTACTGATCAGCAACTGAAGTAGTGGATCCTCCCTTCGTAACAACAGAAACTTCTTGCTCATACTTCTCATTGCAGAGGTCACAGCGAGTTGAGGATTGATTTGTGCTGCCTGATAGATTTGTGGACTCAGATGGTGCAGAAAAAAACCCACCAAGCGGAACAAATGACCCCATCAAGCTGTAAGCATATCATGAGCATGGAACTGTGAGATCCAATGGACAGAAACAGTCAGAAGCTAAAGTAAACACATTGCTGCATAAGTTTGTACCTACATACAGACATCTTTGGACAAATTAAATCAATCAAGGTACTACTAATTGTAACATGTGATGCATACATACGTGGAAATTCACTAGGGAAATTGTAAAAAAGAACCATAGAAATAATCCTAAATGTCACTTTCCATATGAATCTCTGATCACAAATTGATGTTGTTCCCAGTTAGACCACCGTCTAATTTAGTACCTTGTCAGAGCACAAAACTTTAAGAGAAATGGTACAGCAGCTAAATCAGGTCATGCAACACAAACATAATGCAAAAATATGTAATTTGACCTCCTTACAAACTGTTAAGGAAAAAAGTAGACTGGCGAAAAAGTTTAACTGTAGGGATATAATTCAATTGAAAGCTAAAGGAAAAAGACACCCCCACCCCCCACAAACAAACCAAAAAAAAAAAAAAAGAAAAAGAAAAAAGAAACAAAGCCATCCCAGTTTGGGCTTCTTTAGGCCTTACTTTTTGAAGCCATAAATTTAATACTCTTTTTTCTTTTTGATTTTATACATAACTATGCCAAGGACGACTAAATACATTTTTGTATGCATAGGTTATGAAATAATTTACGGCTCCAAATACCTTATCTTACATCTTTTTTTATTAAAAATATATACTAAATCTTCAATTGTAGAGGAAAATATAAAACTCTTACCCACTTTGTCAGGTCAGACATCTTTTTTTATCTGGCTAAATGCTCAGATAGCCACCCAGCCAGATGGTGCAAGTAAAGTTATTATCTGGACTGTTCTGCCAAGAATTTACTACTAGAGAACTCTTACCCTTGATCTAGAAAAAAAATACATATTCGGAGAGTGGATCTCAGTTTTTGGGAGGTTAGAAAAACTACATGTTCAGAAAATGGATCACAATTTTCTAGGGGTGATTCCTTTCATCTAATTTCAATGATCAATAATCAATCGTAAGCAAGGTTTCAAAAAGCAGCATATATCCTGCCTAAGTATTAACTTTTCTCTGTTCATCAAAATTTTAGGAGAAGAAGTTCGCTGCTTTTCCTTCTTGAGCCAGGACATAACCTCAAGGCATGAAGCTTCAGTTTCATAAAGTTTTGACAGTATCAAAATCAAGTGTTAAAATGGATATAACAATTGCAATACTTCTATCCAACACTTAAAATTTACTGTCGTCAAAACAAATCCATATATCCATCATGATATCCCTTGATGTTAAATAAACCTTAAATGATACATGCTTATTAAAAGATGAAATAACATGGAAAAAAAAAAAAAAAAAAGTTGTTTATAACTTTGTAATAAAAACAATTGTATGTAAAAAGGAACTGTAGTTGCATGCAAGTCAAAACCTCGGCCTACAGGTGTTGTGTCTAACAAGTTGCAGCATGAGCATTGTGGGATATAAAATTCCAAGTTCTAACACCACACCTGAAGGGAAGTTGTGCATGCCTTCTAAAACAAACATATTAAACTTGATTTCCTCTGTTTAAATCCAGAGGTTACCTGAAGGATAATCAATACCGAAGATGAGCTACGAACTCCAACTAAGTTACCAAATAAAAGCACCAAAGGTGTTTAATGGGAAGATATATTACTTGATTTGTGCGTCATATAGCCTTAATTTCAAGCTTGGTAAAGAAACAATTTGAAACAATCTTATTAAGGAAAAAATGGGTTGACTAAATTGAAAATTCCATAATTATAATGTACACTGTTAGAATTAAATAGTCTCTTTCTCTGAGACACTAAACCAAGAATGCTGGGAAATCATCTATACGTGCCATTCTCGTTTGCCTGGTGGAAGTAAGACTATTGTAGAATAGGATAAATGTTTTTTTTTTAAAAATTTATTTTATAGGGTGGTCAAGATATGCAGACTTGCAGAGCAATGCAAAATGTATATTCTCTACTTACAGGAGGAAAGAAGCCGGATGTCTTTCCATAAGAAGGCCAAACCCAAAATTTGGAGTAATGCAATGTCAAACAATTTGCTTAACCAAACTATCCCCATAAGAAGGACAACCCCAAAATTCGGAGTCCAAAAGGAGTGATGCAAACAAGAGAAACATGAAACCCCACTACAATGATTGCCCAACTAATCTAAGGTTAAAAGAGAAAATCAGAAGCACAAAGGTAACCTCAAAAATAAATTTCCTACCAAAAACCCACACTAAAATTCTAGAACCAACAGCCTTCCCCCTACTTGTCACCTTTGAGAAAGCTATTTTTCAATATTAGCTTAGTCGACTGCAACCGTACAAATGAAGCAAGATAGTTGTCCAAACTTAAATGCGGAGAACAATTCAGCATGCCATAAAGGCCTACAGAATCAAACACACTTGAATTATTATAATCCAACTCTCCAAATACAATTTAAAAAAACTGTAAAACTAAATAAACAAAAATGACACACTTATGTAAGTTAGTAAGTTGAATCTAAGCTAAACATATATATAATCTTGGCCCCATTGCATAGTGGAAAAAGTCCATGAAATCAATTGAATTTTGACAGCGACAAAAACATGTAACCACATACAATCCTAACAGGTGATCTGCTCTTATACCTTAAATTTCTTATTTGCAAACAAAGACGCATTACTAGGAGAGGGATGAAGTGCATATTGGAAAACAATTGATTCTCCATAGATATATTACACAATAACATCTCAAGAAGGAAAGATACGAGTAAACCTCAAAATATTACTAAGAATATGGAAAGCCTTATACAAACATGAAAGGTAATGCAAAACCCAGTTAGAATACTAAATTGAAAAGTGATCAGCTATATCAAATGAAGATTGTGTTCTTACTTATTGATTGAAGAAAAAATTAAATGAAGATTGTCTTATAGTACAATTTTCTCTTCAATTAAGTTTCAAGAAAATAGTTGTTACACTTCTCCTTCCAAAATGACAGAACGATTGAAAACAACAAATTACACCACTCTATAAGCCACAAAGTTGGGACTCTAAATAGGGCTGGAGGGTATGCAAAACAGCAAAAGAAATCTGTGCTGTAGTTTCCAGCTACCTTTGGAACATAATGCAATATTTAGATTTTGAACTTTAGACTGTTTGGGTTACTCTATCAGTCACTTATCAAAACATGTGTTAATGAGTCTGAGGAGCTTGCTTCCAGTGGAAAATAGTTTTATTTATAACTAATAGAAGAAAGAAAATTGAAGACTATAACAAAAAAATCTTAGGTTTCAATTAAACCTAATAAAAATTACAATTGTGTGTTAAAACCAACAAATATATAGTAGGAAAAACACTCTGTTGAGTAGTTAATAATGCTCAAATTTCAATTCATTATTCTTTTACATTTCCTAAAAAGAACAGAAAACAAAGGAAGAATAATACGGGATCTTCTGAATCACTCAATTTCAGTTTGTACCAAAAAATAGGTGACACAGTCTGACACTACTAGTTTACAAACGTGTAACTTGAAATCCAAATCGTTTGTTACTAGCAACTGCAGCCTCCCCTGACCAGAATCTGCTAGATGTCAAACAATCACATGAACAACTTGTTGAGATGAGTAGGAAACTTAACCGTGCGGAGTTTCTTTTTTTTGATAAGTAACCGTGCGGAGTTTCTTTAAACTAACATGGAGTTATATAAATGGTGTATCTACTAAACTGCTATTATTTAACTGATAAATTAGAATTTCTCAGTGGAGATTCAATTATGCATACCAAACTCACACTCATTTCTCAATGCTTTTCATGAAATGTTAGTTTAAAGGTGACAAGAGAAATCTAGAGGCCTTGTCCCACTGTCTAATACCCCCTCTATATTATACATATAATTCCAAACAACAACTAACGCACATAACAAACTTTAAGACTAAAAGTACGGAGTTTAACACTATCACACTTAAAAAAGAGCACGAAATAGAATTAAACACAAGATAAGTCACTCACCTAGATTTCGAATATAATCCTCCAGTTGAAGCTTTAGAAGAAGTAATGGGTAGCAGATGCAAATCCCAATCTTTCTCAATTGTCGGAAACCGAGCTAAAAACTTCATATAGGTCTCATAACTCCCCGCCACCCCCATCAACCACAATTTCGTATTGTGAAGCTCCAACAAGCTACTCAATTGAGACACCACATAGCTCACAGCATCCGTCGACTTGTCATCATCAAGCACCTTCAGTTCGCCATAATTAACAACAATACCAGGCCCCGAGCAACACTTCACCATTTCACCCAATTCCTTAAACTTCATACATATCATTTCTTGACTCCCACCTTGAGCCACAAAGTCACAAATCTCCTTCTCAATACAAATCAAACTCAACCCATCAATTTCAGCTGGCAATATACCACCTTTACCTCTATCTACACACTCCGTGAAGCTACGAAGCGCATCCTTTGCACAAACCCCAATCAGTAACGGGTTCTTCCCTTTTTTATTTACAAGAACCTCCCCAATTCTCTTACAATTTTCATCTGCATTTTCAAACCCTGAAAAGCCCGCGAACGGAAAATTGAAACTCCGGTGATTCAATTCCGAATCGGTTAAATTACAGAGGAACAGAGGCGGACACCGAGACCGTGAAAATCGTGACATGGTGGGAGGATGAAGAATTGCGAGCTTGATGTCACAGCTCGTAAACCCCGCTTCTCCGAAGACCCTACTGACAATCGGGTCATCGAGAATCGAGAGTATGAAGTGCTTGAGCTCAACCTTCACACATGTAAGCGACGACTGGTTCTGCTGCTGCAATTGCTGGTACAAGTGAAAAGTCTCCGGTTGTCTCCGTTGATTCGCTTGCGACCGTTTGATGGCGGCCATGAGAGAGTTCGACACCGGAGGCTCGTCCACGGCTTTCGATGACGGCAGTCTATCGAGTGACACACCGACGGAGAGCTCAAGCGCACGGAACTGTAGACGTGGCGAGTACGCAGAGCTCCGAGCGCGTGCGCATGCGTCGCGTAGAGTGGAAGATGGCAGAGCGAGGAGTGCCGAGACGGCGTGGAGGGATGTTGTTTGGGCGTGGCTACGGCGGCGAGCCACCCCCACGGCGTCGTCGAGTGCACGCGCGGCCTCTTCGGTTAAGCATTGCCTGGCCGTACCTACCGGCGTTGGCATCGCCGGCGAGCGTGTATATATATATATATATATATGTATGTATGTATGTGTGTGAATATATGATGTATATGTGTTTGTAGTATAAAATACAATAATCTCTTCTCAACCAACCTCCAACCAAATAAAAAATTCCAAGAGGGTATACTTCATGACCTTTTAAGATTTATTTATTGAAGCAGAGGAGAGAGAAAGAGGCATTTGGTTCTTGTTGTTGAAGTGGGTCCCTCTCATTGGGGCACTAGAACAAACATATGGTGAGCGAGATTCTCTTTCAATAAAAAGAAAGATCTTTCTCTCATCTTATGATCTATGGCATTGGTATCCTATCAAGCTCACAAGCTTCGCGTACACTACTGTTCTGGAGAGAGAAAGTGATGGTTTTTAGAGAGAGAAAAGGGGGTGAAAAGAAGGAGAGAGATGCCGTGTCCACTTGATGACAATGGAGTCACTGTCTAGCTTTGGGAGAGAGAGATAAAAGAGAGTGTCGAATGTCAATTCAATTTTTTGGCTAAAGATTTACTAATCCTTGTGATAAGGTAGTGTGGTAGGAAGATTAAACTGATCGGGGCTCTCTCTTTCCACATCCTCAACCACACGTATTCTTCCTTCGCTTTCATGTCACCAAGGGCATCTCCTGTGCCTCAATTCCACTCGCTATTCATCGCGTGGACAACACTCTCCTCATAATTATTCGTTGGTCCACTTTGGGCGTCACAATTTGAGATTTTTGCTGGCTAATTCTCATTCGGACATGTTTTGATGCATGCAATTTGGGTGCACCTCATTATTTCACAGCCTTTTCACCTCCATCCTTTCCGCGTGTCAAGGGTATAAAAAGTTGTGAGTGGACAGCAGACTGTTGTACCACACTCGAACATTGTGAGTGGCTCCCACGCGACAACCACACTGGTGTGACCGGAACCGGTGCCATTCCTAGTTTACAACTACACCTGTGGGTCTGGAACCGCTGTCGACAGATCTCCCACCGATTTAAAAAAAATTGTGTGACTTAGATACCGGGCAAATACACATCAAATATTCATATACACGAGTGATCACAATTATTTATTATATTTAATTTAGTCTAATCCGATTATTAGGTTTTGTTTTTTTTTAATGCAAACAACTTTATTCCACCTAATTGTTGCGGTTTATCTTCATATTGTCATACCAATAATGCTACTATCATACATTCATAATTAATTAATCTTAATTTTCTAGTCCACTAGTATTATTAATTGTGACATCTTCATTTCCATATTCATCATTCATTGTTCTTGTTTATTTGTCTACACTTCACACTCAACTCTATACAATATAGTTAGGGATGGCAACGGGTACACCCTCCTCCACCCTCATAACCGTTTAAAAATCTCACCCCCGTCTCTGCCCTCACCTCCGTCTCTGCCCAATCCTACTTAATATGTATAAACGTAATTGTTTTAAATAACTCTTTAATCTTGAATTGTAATTTTTATATGGTTGTCTTTTGCTATTTTATCAAATTTACATTCCACATATTCTTTTTTAATTCTTAATACTTTATAAAATAATGTCATATTCAAATAGTATTATACCATGGAATATCTTTCATTGTTTCATTTAACCCTATCGTAAATATATATGGATTTGTTGTTGATTTTTAGTGTAATCCTACTTTAAAAAATAAATAAATAATAAAATAATTTAACGTTTATTACTTTTAATTTCTTTTGAGATTTGACGCGTGTACTCAAGAACAATCATAACTTCTTCTTTTTTTCAATAATCAAATTTTATAAAATGATAATTTTATCATTTTTTTTTTTTATAGAAAATACAATATAATATAATATATTATTCTAATATAAAAATATTATTAATTTTTCATACTTAAAATTATTTTTTGCTAGTCAACCAATGAATTATTTTTTTTGTATTTTTAAAAAACATGTATCGACCCCACAACACATGCACCATTTAAGTTAGGAGTGCAGTTTGAAAGTAAGATTTCAAGAACTTACATTCTAAATCTTTACCAACACAGCTATGTCTCTAAGATGGTCAACCACGGAATTTGGAAAAGGTAAATCTACATTCCACATATTCTTTTTAATTCTTAATACTTTATAAAATAATGTCATATTCAAATATTATATACCATCGAATATCTTTCGTCGTTTCATTTAACCCTATTGTAAATATATATGGATTTGATGTTGATTTTTAGTGTAATCCTACTTTAAAAAATAAATAAATAATAATTCAACGTTTATTACTTTTAATTTCTTTTAAGATTTGACGCGCGTGCTCAAGAACAATCATAACTTCTTCTTTTTTTTCATTAATCAAATTTTATAAAATGATAATTTTATCATTTTCTTATATATAATATAATATAATATATTATTCTAATATAAAAATATTATTAATTTTTCATACTTAAAATTATTTTTTGCTAGTCAATTAATGAATTTTTATTTATTTATTAGAGAACGTGTATCGTATCGACTTTACAACACACATACCATTTAAGCAAGGAGTGCAATTCGAAAACGAAATTTCAAAAACTTATATTATAAATTCACACCAACACCGCTATACCTCTAATACGGCCAACTACCGAATTTAGAAAAGGTAAATTTACTAGCCATTCAATAAATACTAATTTAAAAAAAAGTTGAGAGACCCCAAAAAAAAAAAAATGAAAAGAAATAAAGAAAGATGAAAAAGACAAAAAGGGACACGTCAATCTCTTTTTCTCTCTCAAATAATGGAAATCATTTGGTTAAGAATCGATAGAGAGGCCATTGTCACAGTATTATCAGAATGTGTTACCCTCTCAAGGGCCAAACGGGCCATTCTCCAAAAGCTGATTGTTAGTGACAGCTCTGGACTCACTCCACAGACTCACTTACATGAACCCCAACACAACTTGCAAGCCCATGCGCGCGTGTAATAATGCAAATCTGCACCAACAAATGGTTGGTTCTGTTGGCTGCAATTTGAGAATGAATTAAAAAAAGTATCTAAGTGATAATGGCTTCGATATCTCACTTTCTGCAAAAAGTAGCTTTTGCTTAATTTGAAACACTTTCTTACACCTATTTCTTTACCCACTCTAGTTCTATACCCTTTTAGGACAAACAATGTCTCTAGATATTATTGCCTTTGCCCAATCCCATATTTTTTTTTTACATGACTCTTTATAGATGAATTATATAGGTGGGAGAAAAGTAAGCGAGGCTTTGTAGGCATGGACATGAACATGGGATTCTTATTCATATTACACGTGTGAGTCATACTCAATTACATTACTCATAATTAATGTCAATGGTATGCCGCAACTAACCTTGAGGGTTATTTTTGTCAAAAATAACCCCGCTAAGTTGAAAGAGGTTTTATATGATTCACCCAATTGTGTAAATTTAGTTAAAATATTTTATTCTCTTTTTTTTTTCTTCTTTATTGAATAATAATATTTAAATTTATATTTTCTGAACTTTGCGTTTTGACCTAGTTAGAAAATACTTGAGCACTAGTGCAAAGGCTTTTTTCAGAGAACATTCAAAGTGTTAGGGGAGTCATGCATCATCGTACTTTTAACTAAAAAAATATGTGAGTATATTAAAAAAGAGTAAAAATTCATAGTTACGAGCACAAATACATATAAGTTCAAATCTTTTATGTTTACTCATATTATATATTATATTATATTATATTATATATATATATATATATATATATTTATTTATTTATTTATATTATATTTTTAATTTTATACAATGCATATATACAAGTATATGAGATGGACGATCAAACAATTAGATTGACAAATATGAAAATTAATCACAATAAGTATTTGAATGACATAAATAGTAGTATTTTCTCTTTTCTTTGGTTGAGTAGGAAAAAAAAAATAAAAAAATTTAAGGCTTAACTATGCTAGACATATGCTAATGCAATAACATGTTGTTGAACTTATAAGACCCCATCTACTATCCAATTTGATCACATAACCCATATACTATCCAATTTGATCATATAAGCCCATATACTAACAAATAATTCCCAGAACTAACAAAAGTAATCATTTTACTCCCATCATGTGACAAAGCTGGTAACTGACATTTGAAATGGCAAAAATTACCTTGATGGTTTAAAAGCTATAGAGTTAATTTACAATGACAATTATGTCCTTCTTGGGTCCATTATAAATGAACAAAATTGGAGTTGCTAATTTTGGCTGATATTTTTAGAAAAATAATACTTTTGAAACTTGAACTAAAGAATGACATATACCACCTAAACAAGCTAGAGTAATTTGGGGCTTCGGATGAAAGTTCCAGGGCCAAGACTTGATATCTATGGAAGAGATGTTTGTGGAGAAGACAACTTGGAACTAACATGAAGGGTTAAAAGGGAATTTTTGATTGTAAATAGTTAAAAGGATATTTTGATCATTTAAGTGGTTAAAAGGACATTTTGATCATGTAATATTTTAAAAGTTGACATATGACCGGTATCCAATTGAAGGTGATATGATGGATTTTTAAAAGGTAATAAAAATTTATGAGATACTTTTTTTTTTTTTTTTTTAGTGGATTATATGAATGATTATGAATAATTTATGATTTTGACCTTTTAATATGGTGATGCGTGAAGGCAGAAAAAATAAGTTTCAATTATCTATGTACTATTCAAGAAAGATAAAAATAATAGAATCTTTTAACTAAATTCAAACAGTTGCATGAAATTAAATGCAACTTACACTAACATTAATATTAAATGTTAAGGCTCTAATATTTTTTGGGAATTTTTTTTTTTTTAGGTAAAATAGTTTCTATATTTTTGTTTTTTTGGTGTATGGCAAAGGTGTAAGTCGAGATTGAGGTAGAGTTCATCGGACAAGGCGTGTAAAATAACTTGTCTAAAATTAATGGGTAAATTTTTTTATTAGATTATAATATTTTTTTTTTTCGTAAATATTTTATGACAACTAAACACCAGGAAATAAAATAAATATTTTTTGAAAAATATTTTATATTCAAACAAACAGAGCCTAAGAATTCACTGGGACATGATTGAGCTTTCAACTAATTTACTTAAAAAATAAATTTACAATCACACACTTGGTAAATCATATTTTAAAATTCACTTAAATAACTTTACAATCGCACACTTTGCCATCATATTCTAAAACTCACGACATCTAACAACAGTTTAGGGTGTGTTCGGCAGTACAGAATTGGAGTTTTGGAATTGAAATTGGTAGAATTTGATATAAAAAAAAAAAAAAAATTTATTCAATTTTCTTAATTATTATTATTTTTTAAAATTTCAATTCTAATTTCGTGCAGCTGAACATACCCTTAATGAATTT